GAGAAATGAGGCCTTTATCAGATAAACTTACTGCAATCCCCCTCCTCCCAGTTCTCTGCTTTCCTAATTTTGGCTGCATTGATTTTGTTTGTGCAAAAACTTTTATGTAATCAAAATTATCTGTTTTATATATTTTCTTTGGTCCTAAATCCTTCCCTTATCCATAAAATTTGACAGATAAACTATTCCATGCTCTCTTAATTTGCTTATATTATCTTTTATGTGAAAATCATGTACCCATTTTGACCTCATCTTTGTATATATCATGTGAGATGTTGATCAATACCTAGTTTTTGCCAGTTCTCCCAGCAGTTTTTGTCAAATAATGAGTTTTTGTTCCAAAAGCTTGGTTGGATCTTTGGCTTTATCAAATGCTGGATTGCTATGGTCATTTTCTATAATGTAATTTATACCTAATCTATTCCACTGATCCACCACTCTTATTTCTTAGCCAGTACCTGATTGTTTTGATAATTACTGCTTTATAATACAGTTTGAGATCTGGTATGGCTAGACCACCTTCTTTCATATATTTTTTCATTGATTCCCTTGATATCCTTGAGCTTTTGGTCTTCCAGATGAACTTTATTATTTTTTCTAGCTCTATAAAATAATTTTTTCATAATTTAATTGGTAGGGTACTAAATAAATAGACTAATTTAGGTTGAATTGTCATTTTTATTATATTGGCTTGGCCCACCCATGATCAATTAATATCTTCCCAATTGTTTAGGTCTGACTTTTGTGTGAAAAATGTTTTAGAGTTGTGTTTATATATGGCTCCTGAGTTTATCTTGGCAGGTAGTATTTTATATTGTCTACAGTTATTTTATTTTTTGGGCAAGGCAATTTGGGTTAAATGACTTGCCCAGAGTCACACAACTAGTAAGTATTATGGTTCTGAGACTGGATTTGAACCTGAGTCCTCCTGCCTCCAGAGCCAGTGCTCTATCTGCTACACCACCTAGTTGCCCCTATTTTTTAAAAAATTTTTTTCTTCTAGTGTTTTTCATAGGAATGGGTGCTGTATTTTGTCAAAGGCTTTTTCTCCATCTATTGAGATAATCATACATATAATTTCTGCTGGTTTTATTATTAATGTGGTCAATTATACTGACACTTTCCCTAATATTGAACCAGCCCTGCATGTATAAATCCCACGTGGCCATAGTGCATGATCATTGTGATATATTGCTGCAATCTTTTAGCTAGTATTTTAAAATTTTTGGATCAATATTCGTTATGGAAATTGGTCTATGCTTTTCTTTCTCTGTTTTGGTTTTTCCTGGTTTAGGTATCAGCACCATATTTGTGTTGTAAAAGGAATTTGATAGGACTCTGCCTATTTTTCCAAATAGTTTATATAGTACTGGGATTAATTGTTCTTTAAAATTCTTGGTAAAAATCACATGTGGATCCTGGGGATTTTTTCTTAGGAAGTTCACTGATGGCTCACTCAATTTCTTTTTCTAAGATTGGGTTAAGTATTTTATTTCTTCTTTTGTTAAATCTGGGTAATTTATATTTTTGTAGATATTCATCCATTTCATTTAGATCATCAAATTTATTGGCATATAATCGGACAAAATAGCTCCTAACAACTGTCTTAATTTCCTCCTTGTTAGTGGTGAATTCACCCTTTCATTTTGGATACTAGTAATTTGGTTTTCTTTTTTCCCTTTTTAAATCAAATTAACTAATGGCTTATCTATTTTATTAGTTTTTTTCCATAAAACCAGCTTCTAATTTTATTAGTTCAATGGTTTTCTTACTTTCAATTTTATTCCTCTCCTTTGACTTTCAGGATTTACAATTTGGTGTTTAATTGAGGATTTTAAATCTGTTCTTTTTCTAAAGCTTTTTAGTTCATTGATCTGCTTTTTCTCTATTTTATTGATGTAAACAATTAGAGATATAAATTTTCCCATAAGTACCACTTTGGCTGCACCCCATAAATTTTGGTATGTTGTCTCATTGTTGCCATTTTCTTTAATGAAATTATCAATTGTTTCTATGACTTGTTCTTTGATGTACTTATTTTTTAGGATTAGATCATTTAATTTCCAATTAATTTATAATCTTTCTTTCCATTGTCTATTATTGAATGTAATTTTTATTGCATTATGATCTGAAAATGATGCATTTACAATTTCTGCTTTTCTGTATTTGATTGTGAGGTTTTTATGTCCTAATACATGGTCAATTTTTGTGCAGATGCCACATACTGCTGAGAAAAGGGTATATTCCTCTCTATTCCCATTCAATTTTCTCCAGAAATCTATCATATCTAACTTTTCCAGAATTTTATTCACTTCCTTACTTCTTTCTTATTCATTTTTTGGTTAGATTTATCTAGTTCTGAGAAGGGAAATTATCTATTTCCTCCTGTAACTCATTCAACTTCTTAAAACATTTAGATGCTATATCATTTGGTGCATATATATTTAGTATTGCTATGACTTCATTGTCTATGGTACCTTTCAGCAAGCTATAGTTTCCTTCCTTATCTCTTTTAATTAGACCTATTTTTGCATTTGCTTTGGATGAGATCACAATTGCTACCTCTTTTTTTAGGCAATCGGGTTAAGTGATTTGCTCAGGGTCACACAGCTAGTAAGTGTCAAGAGTCTGAGGTCACATTTGAACTCGGATCCTCCAGACTCCAGGGCTGGTGTACCTCTGCTTTCTTTGATTCAACTGAAACATAATAAATTTTGCTCCAGCTCCTTACCTTTACCCTGTGTGACTCTGGTTTTTAATCCATTCTGCTACCTGCTTCCGTTTAATGGGTGAGTTCATCCCATTCACATTTATAGTTATGATGATTGTGTGGATTTCCCTCCATGCTATTTTCCCCTTGTTTATCCCTCTCTCCCTTGCTCCCCACCCTTTCCCTCTTTACAAGTGTTTTACTTCTGATCACCACCTTCCCCAGTCTACACCCCCTTTTATTAGTCCTCCCTCCCCCTTCTATTATCTTTGTCCCTTCTTACTTCCTTATATGGTAAGACAAATTTTTATATCCACCTGAGTGTGTCCCTCTTTGAGCCAATTTTGATGAGAATAAGGTTTAAGCTTTGCCTGCCACCCCCCTTCTCCATCTCCCCCTCCATTATATGAGTTCTTCCATGTCTCTTTTATGTGGGGATAATTTACACCATTAAATCTCCCCCTTTTTTCTCCCAGTGCAATTTTCTTTCTCACCCCCCTTCTTTTTTGGGGGGTGAGGGGTGTTATCATCCCATCAAAGTCACCTTATATCCACACCCTCTCTCTACCTATGCTCCTTCTAATTGCTCTTATAGTAATAAAGTTCTTAAGAGTAACAAATATTATCTTGTCATAGCAAAATATAAACAGTTTAACCTTATTGAATTTCTTATGTTTTCTCTTTTTTTCCTTTTTATGTTTCCTTTGAGTCTTACATTTGGAGGTCAAATTTTTTTCTGCGGCTCTGGTTTTTAATTAGGAATGCTTGAAAGTTGTCTATTTGTTAAATATCCATTTTTTCCCCCCTGAAATATTATATTCAACTTTGCTGGAGAGATGATTCTTGGTTGTAATTCTAACTCTTTTGCCTTCCGGCATATCATATTCCAAGCCCGCTGGTTCTTTAATGTGGGAGCTGCCAAATGCTGCGTAATCCTGACTGTAGCTCCATGATAGTTAAATTGTTTTTGGCTGCTTGCAGTACTTTCTCCTTGACTTGTGAGCTCTAGAATTTGGCTACGATGTTCCTAGATGTGTTTCTAATATAACAGAGTAGTTTTCTTTGATAATTTCTTGGAGGATGTTATCCAGGCTTTTCTTTTTTTTTATCATGACTTCCAGGTAGTCCAATAATTCTTATATTATCTCTCCTGGATCTCCTTTCTAGGTCAGTTGTTTTTCCAATGAGAAATTTCACATTTTCTTCTATTTTATTTTTACTTTTTTATTGATTTTGTTTTATTGTATCTTGATGTCTTATAGAGTCATTAGCTTCCACTTGCTCAATTCTAATTTTTAAGGAATTATTTTCTTCAGTGAGCTTTTCCATTTCCTTTTCCATTAAGCCAATTCTATTTTTCAGGAAGTTATTTTCCTTGGTAAATTTTTGTATATCTTTTCCCATATTACTGACTCTTTTTTCATGATTCTCTTGCATTATTCTCATTTCTTTTCCAAATTTTTCTTTTATTTCTCTAATTTGCTTTTAAAAATCCTTTTAGAGCTCTTCCATTAATTCTTTTTGGGCCTGAGACCAAGTTACATTTTTCTTTGAGGCTTCACATGTAGCCATTTTGACACTATTGTCCTCTTCTAAGTTTATCCCTTGATCCTCCCTGTCATCATAGCAACTTTCTATAGTCAAGTTCTTTTTTTGGTTTTTGCTTATTTTCTGCCTTTTTGGGTGACTTAGTGTTTTCATGTGAGAGTTGGTCTCTGGTGGTGCACTGTCCCATAATTTTCATCCTGGGGCTCAGGGTCTTACTACTAGCTTTCATTGGGCTTTAGGACTTAGCTAGTTTTTTGGTTTCTACTGTGGGGTGTGTGTGTGGGGCCTCCCTATTGGCCTCCCCTGGGTGTGGGGTTTAGCTGTTGGTCTGCCCCTGGGGTGAGGCCTTTCTGCTAGGTTGCTACTGTAACAGAATCTTTCTGGTGGCTGGCCCCAGAGAAGGGAATCTTGTTGCTGGTCTGCCCCAGGTGTGGGGTCCTGCTGAAGGGTTGTTATGGAAACAGGACTTCTCTGCTGGCAGGCCCTAGGGGTGGGGTCTCACTGTTGGCAAACCCTAGGGCAAGGCTTCACTATTGGTCAGCAATAGGGTCAAGGCCTTGCTTTGTGTGTGCGGTCCTTGGGGTGGGGCCTGGTTGTGCTGTACAGACTGCTCATAGGGGGCTGCTGGTTTGCAGGAGGGCAGGGCCTCACTGGTGGGATTGCCCTGGGCTTGGAGCCTTGCTACAGGACCCCTGCTGTGAGGCTGGCTGCTGCTGCTCCTAGACTTTGCTCCCTTCCCACCCCAGTGAGACAGACCTTTCCTGCCATGCTGGTAAGCTGCCTCCCTGCTCCTAGGTCAATTCTCAGGCAGTTTTCTAGTTGTTTGGAGGGAAATTTGGGAGGGCTTCAGAGGGTTCCTTTCTCATTCTGCCATCTTGGCAATGGAATATAATTTACCTTTTAATTAAATATACAAGTCACCTTGCATCCACAGGATGATTATCTTCAATGTAGATAACCATTATGTTGCTAAGCTGCTTTAGGATCACAGTTGACATCCTACAGTATATATTTCTTACTTCTGGAGACAGAAGAATTGGAAAGTAGCCTCAAACTATTTGAAAGATAAGGTACCCTTTCCATATTTCAACTAAATTAGGACCATGATCTTATTTCTTATGGCTGTACCATAGTAGGTGGGAAGACAGGCAAAAATGGAGAGGTTTCGTACAGTGGTGTTGCTTTGTATTCAACACTATCTGGAATGGATCAATAGTCTAAAGTAGATTGGACAGCTAGTATCCTGCTGCAAAGGATGTCTCCCTCAGCAGAGCCCTCTGAACTTAAGATTCTGTACCACCACCAAAAGTATCGTCAATGACTCTAACTCCTAGTGGAAGTAAATTCTGATTCTCTAAGCTGGCATAATAAGTTTGAGTAAAAAAATATCAAGACAGAACAGGTACTTCCAGAGCTTATTTTTTAGCTGGAATAGGACTAGCAGTGTAGCAAGCATCAGCAAACTGCTGCCTTGGGCTAATGCTTTGTGAAAGCATATATTTTTTTGAGGTGCAATACTAAATCTCTCCTCTGTGTTGTCCTCTTAACCTACCTCAGTGTGGCTCTCCACCTGGCTTTGGACACGTTGCCCAAATATCAGACCACATTTTAATGCCTAGGTCCCTGGATTTGCTATTTTGTAGAGTACTAGCTTTGATCTTTGAATTACAGTACTGATGGTTGGATCTCTGAAACTGAAGTGGCTCTAGGATTGTACCTACTCTATTCTCTGGGGCTTACTGACACTCTTTTACTTGTTAATTATTAGCTAAATTTTCTGCTTCCGCCACCCCGTGAGTTTCTTAAATAGCACTCTTTTGGACACAACAGGTTCATCAAAACCTAGCCCCTCCTAAGCTCACCAAGAAAGGAGTCATTATTAAGTTTCTAGATATCTGTACTAATATTTAATTTAACTTAAAGAAGATAATAAAAAACTTAATAATATTTTACTTCTGGTATATCCCACTTGTATACTGCATAGAACTTTCTATAACTAAAACCTAATTACCTATCAGTAATCCTAAAATCTACCAATCTTTAATAAATAAGGCTAATTTTATAATTTGAGAGAATAGTAATTCCTTGGTAATCATGGTATGAGAGGGATACCCTGCAGATCTTTATTTTCCGAATAAAATACTGAAAGATTTGAAGTCTGATATGAGGGGGAAAATAATTTAAAATAAACAGCTTACTTTAATTGGTTCAGGCTGCATTACTGGTGCAGGCATGGCAATTGCACTTTGGGCATAAACCTGATGATATGTTGCTTGAACTCCATGATCAGAATAAGGCTGGTATAAGAAAAAGTACATGTTTTAGTTAAAAGAATCAATTAAAAGAGGCAGAAAAAGATTCCTCAATATTTATAAAACTTTACTTTTAGACTCAATAGTTAAAAGTGAATCCCAAAATAGTAGTTTTTTTTTCAACTATATGAGCAAAAATTTTCACAAATACAAACTATACTACTTTAATTCACTTATTTAACTATTCTCCCACCAAAGTAAATCCCCTTCCTCCTCTGAGACAGTATTATGAATAAAAGTATCCAAACATTTCTTTGCATGGTAATAAAAGATGTTATCAGCATAACTTAGAAAATTACACTAAGAAAATAAACATTTTGATATATCCTTAGAATATATATAACTAGAAGGGAAAGCCTCTGAAATAAAAAAAATTAATGTGACAATAAAGCTATTTATTTTTAGTATGTAGAAAGATGAGAAGCAGTGTGACACAGAAGACCTGTGTTCAATGCCTCTGACACAGACTGGTTGTGTGACTCTGGGTTGGTCACTTAGCCTCTCACTGCTCTAGGCAACTCTCTAAGACTGTAAGTCTTGATGCCTTCATGCTTAGGCAGAGGAAGTGTCTTGTTTTTATTCAAGAGTTCCCTATTGTCAATACCACAGGTCCAATTCCTATCCCTATCCCTTTATAGAGGTGTATACCAATAGTAAAAATAATTATTGTTCATAGGACAAATGGTACAATACTTTGCATTTAAAGTCTATAAATTTACTCTTTTAAGTTTCCACTCTCTATGTTTCAAAAAAGATATTACAGAATATTAACACTATAAGGTATGTTTTTATAATTTTTATTTAAAAGTAAGTTTGTGTTATATTTGTTTTTAAAAATATTTTTACTTATTTCAACCAAAAGGGAGTGTGGTAGAGCACAGGGAGGAAAATTAAACCTGAAGGACAATTAATTTCTCACTTTAGCTATGTTACTTTATAGGGGGAGTTGGGTAGATTCAGAGAAAAGTTCATAGAGAGGGTAAGATTTTAACTGATAAAGAACATGTATGTAAAAGAACAGAATAAAACCAACCTGACAGATACAGAATTTAGGATATTTGTAGGTGAGAAAATAAGACATGAGAGAAAGTGAATGAAAAAGCCTAGCAAAAAAAACTTCCTTAGCTGGAGCAAAAGGAATGGACAGGGAAAGAAAATTGGAAAACATAAGATGCAATATATTAGTAATAGCTTTTATTCCATTTTAAAAGTATATATATATATATATGTGTATATATATATACACACACACACACACACACACACACACACACACACACACACATACACAAGTGTGTGTGAGAAAACACTTGCAAATAACTTTTGCAACCACAATACATACCTCTGCAACTGAAGCTTCCATTAGAGAGAGAGGAGGGGGAACACACCCACCATCTTGTGCAATTTCTACTGGTTGATAAATAACCTCAGATGGCTGCAGGTATAAGAATGGGGCTGAAGAAGCTGGAGACTAAAGAAAATAAAACTAATTAAATTATTTCAATGAAATTTAATCCAACAAACACTAGTTAAGCTCTTAATATTTGTAAAGCACTAGGGCTGAGGATATAATAAAGATGGGAAATTACACATACACAAGTAAAAAACAAAAATTCAAGAGACAGAATAAGAATAATTGGGTGGATCAGGGAAGTCCTTGTGTTAGAAGAAGTTATGCTTTGCAGGAAGGCAGGGATGACTGTAGCAAAACAGCTAAGAGCAATCTTTATTTCACGTATGGGAACATCATGGAAAATTGAAACTCATGTTAACAACTTGTTCTTCTGGGGCAATATAGAAGATCACAGAATTAAAAGGCTAGAAAGTAATAAAATTCAGGTAATAAAAATTCTAATTGTGGGTATGTCATACTAAATAATTCAGGGATCCTGGGGAAAACACTGAACTTCCCTGTGCCTTGGTCATATCCTTTTTATTTGAATTAAGATAAACACATGTACTAAGGGCATCTCTTGATCATTGCATTGAGTGTTCAGGTAGATGGCTGGCTTCCCCAAGCAAATGGGGACAAGCAATTTAATTATATTTTGTACATACATGCTACCCAAATGGAGCAACTGATTTTTTAAATATAAATAAAATAGAGACAAATCTAACTTTAAAAGGTGCCTAATTAATCCAGTAACCATTTTTTTTTTAAATTCACAACCAAGTATTTAAGGTTATTGCTATCACCTGGGGGACTCCCCAGTGCCACTGTCCTGGAAGACACTGTCCAGGTGCCTAAGATGAAAAAAAGAAAAAACCCATTAAAAACAAGGTGTATATATATATATATAAATTTCAATTTCAAGCCAGAAATTTAGTCAAAATTTCTTAGTAATGATAATGTCACTTTTAAAGAAGATTAAAATGTAAAATATTAGTAATGTCCTATGTAGCTGCTGTTCCTCATAATCAAAGAACATTAACATCAGTGCCACTTTTTGGTATAATCTACCACCAATTTCATGACTTTACAGTGGTAAGCACATTTGTCTTAATCAGAAAAACACTTACATGCTTAAGAGGCACCTGGTGGCTCAGCAGATAGAGCACTGGGCCTTGCAGTCAGGAAGACCTGAGTTCCAATGTGGCCTAGCTGTGTGACTGGGCAAGTCACTTAATCTCTTGCCTCAGTTTGCTCAGCTGTAAAATGGGAATAACTACCTACCTTGAAGGGTTATTGTGAGGATCAAATGAGATATCTGTAAAAAGATCTTAGGACAATGCCTAGCACCAGCTATGTGCTATATAAATGCCAATTTCCTTCCCCTTATGAATCTAATACATTTTAAAAAATGAAATAGTTGTTCCTGAACATAAAGGCACAGAGAGTAAACTTCTATATGACAGTAGAATAAAACATAAAAAACCAACTACAATTAAGATCTCTCTGATGGTTAAAAATTAAAGCACCTGGTAAAGGTAGAAAATAGCATCTACGAATAAAGTAGGCAAGAAAAGAGGAAGGAGGAAGGAAATAAATGGAAGAACAAAAGAACAGAGGAAAGGATGGGTAAAACATAACATCAATTAGTCAGGAGGCCCACATATCTCCATTTTTTTTGTTATATGTGAAGACAGTGGTCCTCAGGTCTAATATGGCTAAGCACACTATTACTTTACTCTAACTTTTGTGGCTTAGTGGGACTTGGCTTGGTAGGTGTCAGAATAATGTTAATGTAGGAGTATTAAAAGTAGGAGTTATTAAAAGTAGGAGTAGTAGTACTGACAGTACTCTACTACTCTACGGAACTACCAACAATACTATTCCTACTACTCCTATACCTACTACTTAGTGTCTGTGCCTACACTTCTGTTTCACATTTTTAAGGGAATTGTTAAGACAATTTGTTTACCATTAATATATTATGGGCTTAAGTCAAGGAAAAATTGAAAGGATGGAAAAATTGTACAAGGAGATAAAGTAAAGTAAAATTAAAGTCAGATAAGGTAAAGTGCCAATAGGAAGAGATAGCTGGAAAGCTGGGGAGGGGAGAGAAGTCACTGGAAACATAACTAAGCTATATATTTTTTTAATTAAAAAAAATTTTAATATAAAATTTATTTTTAGTTTTCAACATTTACTTCCACAAGATTTTGAGTTCAAATTTTCACCCATCTCGCCCATCCCCCCACCTCAAGATGGCATGCATTCTGAATACCCCTTTCCCTAGCCTGCCCTCTCTTCTATCTCTCTCCCCCACTTCTCTTATCCCCTTCCCCTTCTATTTTCCTGTAGGGCAGGATAGACTTCTGTACCCCATTTCCTGTATTTCTTACTTCCCAGTTGCATGTGAAAACATTTTCTTTTAAACATGCGTTTTTAAAACTTTGGGTTCCAAATTTCTCCCTTTCTCCCTCCCCCACCTACCCTCATTGAAAAGGCAAGCAACTCAACATAGGTTATGCATGTGCAGTTATGCAAAACCCTTCCATAGCAGACATGTTGTGAAAAACTAACTCTATTTCCTTTAATTCCATCCTGCCCCCCAATTTATTCTATTCTTTCTTTTGACCCTGTCCCTTCTCAGAAGTATTTGTAAAGCTATATATTTTTTAAAGACCATCATTCAAACATAAAAAAGTAAACAAAAGGCTGGAAAAAGAATGAAAACAAGAAAATAATAAAAAGCAGCTAGTGAACTTTGAAACATATTTAAGAGATTTGAACTTTAAAGGATGTAAGTGCCATATTATTCTTTTAATAAAATGTTAATAAGATAATATTATTCTTTTAATAAAATAAAATAAGCCACCTACTATACAAGTAATGGTATCTATTAGAACAGGGTAGCCTCAAGGTCACATGTGGCTCTGTAGGTCTTCAAATCAGGCACTTTGACTGAATCCAAACTTCACAGGACAAACTTAAGTCCTAATTTGGGGTCCCCCCCATATTAGAATAAGTATATATAGAGTCACCTGGAATTCCCTTTATTAGGGAAGTTGAAAACCAGGAACTATAGGTGATAGGTCACGATTAGGTTTTATGGATGTTCTCTCACTGTCATCCTATTATATCCTGATATAGTAAGTATGGCTCTGAAATGATTTAAGATTTAATTTAAGAAGGGCATTTATGAATGCAATGGGGCTGGGAGAATGAGAATTATTAAATTTCTATTTCAGAAAATCAGCAGTCCCTCAAATCAGTTAGCAAGGTACCCTGAAATAACTTTGGAGATACTATTAGAGAAAAGAAACATTAGTGAAAAGTATCTGATGGAAGTTGAGGACAGGAGTAGTTGATTATATCCCATTCTACCTTCTGCAGAACCTTGAATCATCAATTATTATTTCACTCTCTTAACTTCTTTTTCTCTTTTATTCTTAAACATACTCAGATATCCAGTATGCTAAAAGAAACTTACACAGTCCTTGAGCAATTCACCTTCTTCCAAGCTCCTGTACTGAAATCTTGGGCAAATTTTTCAAGGAAAATTCACCTATACTCAAAGCTTCTACTTTCTTCCTACCCATCTGTAATCTGGCTTCCATCCCCACAAACTTACTGAAACTACTCTCTTGAAAGTCAATGACCTACTAACCACGAAATCTAATAACCTTTCTTAAGTCTTTATCCTCCCTGACCTCTATCATATGGGATAAGACTTCTAAGGGAAAATTTAAAATGGTAAGAAAAGAGGGCTGAGGACAAACGCTTGGGAAAATGTCCACATTCAGGGAGTGGGAGAAAGAAAAGGAACCAGAAAAAAATAAAAATGGATAAGTCACGGAAGTAGAGTAATCTACAAGAACTTGAAAAGTACAGCAATTAGGGGCAAACAACCTTATAGGCATCTTAATAACTTCTGATACTGATAACAACAACTAACATTTAAACATTACCTTCTGTGTGCTAGGTATTGTGCTAAGCACTTTATAAATATTATCTCATTTGAGTCTTACAACAACCCTGTGAGGTAGGTGTAGGTGCTATTATTATTCCCATTTTACAGATGAAGAAACTGAGGGAAACAGAATTTAAGCTGATTTGCACCCAGGGTCACACAGCTAGTAAGTGTTGAAGGCCAGATATGAATTTATTTTCTTAACTCCAGGCCCAGCGCTCTATACCTAGTTGCCACTGACTTTGGTGACTATAACACCTTTATATTACAATATAATAAATATTATTCAAAATATCAACCTCTAGATTATAACAAAAGCAGATTAAACTATATTCAGCCTACTGTGGTTTAGAAGGCAAAGTGGCAGATGACATAGTTTAGAAAGATTTTCTGTAACAAATGGTTAAAAGACAAAAAACATGACATGTATAAGTTTTGAAAGATAAATGAGGCCCTACTTTGATTATCAACTAGGAAATGCTGATCAAATCCATTAGCTATCTTCTCCTCTGTGCCTTTCAACCATGCCACTGAAGAGCAGTTTCAACCTTGCTCTTTGAAGTAGCAAAGGAAAATTCTGAACAGTGACAATCTGAAGGACTTGCCGGTAAACACAGTCATAAAATTGTGTATTTTTCTTTAAATATGTGATTTAAAAAGACTTCCAGCATTCTGAAATGTTGAGTTATTTCTGGAGGCCAAATTTTTTTCCCAAAGGAATACATCTCTATCTTTGAAATTAAAGACAAAAGAAAAATGTCTTGATAAAGAAATTCAATTTATAAGCAACTTTCTAGACTATACTCTGTAATAATAACAGCAACTGACACAGTAAATTTTAAAGTGTTTATGCTTTTCTCAGAACCACCTTTTCAAGGTAAGTATTATTATTCCCCTTTTACAGGCAAGGAAGGTGATGTTCAGGGAGGGTAAGTGACTTAACCCTGGTTATACAGACAACATATGTCAAAACTGGTACTCAAATCCTGGTGATTATTATGTAGATCATTATTAGCTCCTAGAATTACTAAAATAAAACTTCTTAGCTTAATTTTTACATTTTTAACAACAGAAGAAGAATTAATCTTCTGCTTCCTGATTAATACTACCACATTCTCTCAAAAAGGAAGAATCTAGTATAAGATCTGTGTAATAAAAGGAACAAAAATATGGTGCCATTCTGATTATGTTCTAAGGGAAGTCTGAGCCATTTTTTCTCAGAATGGTTCACAAGAAGGTGTTAAATAAAACTGAAAACAGGAATCAAATTACAAAATAACATTTTAGCAATAACACAATACATCATTAATTTTTACCTGATAATGATACGCAGGTTGCTGATAAACAGGTTGAGCTACCATCACAGGGGAACTAGATATAGAACGTGACTACAAGAAAAGAAAAATATAAAATAAAATTTAAGAAAAACATCTCAGGCAAAATCATCCCAAAATGGAACATGATAAAGATGTCCATCTAATTCTAGTCAATTTTTGCCTTACCAGAGAGTCACAGAATTTCAGCCTTCAAAAGGACTCCAGGAACCATGGAGTCCAATTCATTCTTTTATTCTTTTTGTTATTATTATTATTATGTATTTTTGGTGAGGCAATTGGGGTTAAGTGACTTGCTCAGAGTCACACAACTAATAAGAATTATGTGTCTGAGGCTGCATTTGAACTCAGGTCCTCCTGATTCCAGGGCCAGTGCTCTATCCACTGTACCCCCTAGCTGCCCCAGTCCAAATCATTCTTGAAAAATTAATCCCTACTACAACATACTTGATAACACTCATGTAGCCTTTGTTCGAACAATTCCTTTTTTTTTTAATAGGCAATTAGGGTTAAATGACTTGCCCAGGGTCACACAGCTGTTAAGTGTCAAGTATTTTGAAGAATTCTAATGAGCAGGAAACCAGCAACCTTTCAAGGAAAAACATTCCTTTTTGGGTAAAGTTTTAACTTAGCATTTTCCCCGTGACATTAAGCGTAAATTTGCCTCTTTGCACCTTCTACCCACTGATCCTGGTTCTGTCATCTGGGGCCAAACAGAACAAATTTAATCCCTCCTTTTATACTGCAGCTTTTTCAAAACTTGAAAACAGTTATCAGGCTCCCCTTGAGTCTTCTTTCTCCAAGCTAAACAATCCCAGTTCTGTCAACTGATTCTCATATGGAATGGACTTGAGGCCCTTTTCCATATAGGTTGTTCTACTCTGGATAATCTTGAGTTTAACTATGTCCTTCCTAAAATGTGGTATCTAAGCCTTGAATACAACACTCAAGATGAGATGTAGTTTAATTAGGTCAGAGAAAAGTGGGACTATCATCTTCTAATTCCTGAAGGTTATCAAGAATTTGATGGACTATATCAACCTGTTCATTTCTATTAAGCTTGGAGTCCATTACCCTCTACCACCCTCCTCCCCCAAAATCTCTATCTTTCTTAAAAGATAAAGTGCTGTCCAAACAGGCCTCTTACTTTCTATAGCTAAGTTCTGGTTAGTGTGAATTATGGCATAGATTTCTTGAGTCCAAATGTAGAACTGTGCACATTTGTCCTTATCAAATATCATCTTCTGTGCTAAGCTAAGAAGTCCCCTGCGCCCCTTTGTTCCTCCCTCCCTTAAATAACCACTAGGTAGTAGTTACTGCTGGGTTTTGAGCAGGGGAAAGATTTCCATATAAAGGCAAAATAAAGTTGTTCTATTTTCAAGAAACATTTAAAACTGTATTGAAAATAAACTTTCCTGAACTTAAATTACTTACAGGCCAAGGTGGTGGGACAGAAGCTACCTCAGGAGTATGAAAATATGCAACACCATTATGGTAGGTGTAAGGATAGCCAGTTGAAGTAGTCAGATACATTGTTCCAGCTGCTGGCATTATACTGGAACCTAAAGCAAACAGTATTATATTATTATGTTAAATAGAAATAAATATATATTACATAAATATATAATGTATTATTTGTTATATGTTACTATTATATATTATCATAATATTCTTATATGCAATATTGGGTATTATGTATTATGTGTTATGATACATTACATATAACATATTAAATATAATTTTAAAATTTACATAATATAAAAACATAAATATGAACATAAAATATAAATATATACACATACAAAAGGTAATATAAATATAAATAATATAAAACACAAAAATATAAATGTTATATTATAAAATATATACCTCCTACATTAAAACCAAAATTATTGCTTTATTTACCCAAACTGCAACTTTTAAATGCTATGTTAGATTTAATACACCTTGAAAAAAAAAACTCTGCTTAGACTTTAAGAAGTTATCATGGCCCCAACTTTTGTAAACTGAAATTCACTACTTAGGGAAATTAGGCAAATAATTTTACTTGCCTTAAGGGACAGAAACAAGATTCCAAGAATACCTTTAAAAATAAGCTTTACATCACTGTTTGATAACCATATTGAAAATCAGGATTTTTAGCTTTATTGAGATTATACATGACAAGCTTTCTAACTTCTCTAAAATTTCTAAAGAATTAACAGAAATGTAAGGCATTTTTACATTTTTCACCTTACTTACCCATGACTTCAGGGGTTCTACTATGTTTAAAAGAAATCTCAAATACCTTGGCCATATCAATATATCCAAGACAACCAGAAGAGCTATAGGCCCTCAAAACCAATCCCCTAGGCTCATCAGGGATTGTCTGTTCTGGAAGCTTCCCCAGAATGGAACTCCTTTCAACTGATTTTTTTATCCCAACAAGACTCCAAAACAGAATGTAACATTCAACCATCCATGAGTGCTAAATCTGGAAGGCACCTAACCATTCACCAGTGTTTTACTCTGGTTGATGCCTAGGTGATAAAAAATTATGTAATGTCCTGAAAATAGTGCAAGGGAAAAAAAATCCTTTTCTAGGATCAATTTTTAAAAAGTATAAAGAAAAAAATCTCATTCTAGGATGAATAAAGATAATCATACAACATAATCTTAGTATTTTCCTTAAGTTGTTGATTTATAGTAATGCTAAATCCTAAGCATCAAAAAATAAAGGCTAGTGTAGAAAAGTGTATTAGGAGAAAAGGTAATGTCCTTTGTTCTGATCTCATCAGGACACTAGAGAAGGCTTAATATTAGAGATATCAGGTTAATATATCTTGATCTAGATGTCGTATGTTAACAAATGGCTGCTAAAACCAGAAGCCTACCTCCCCATGAGAGTGAAATAAACAGGAGAAAAGAAGAAAACTGAGTTCAGAAGAAGTTAATAGGAAAAAAAGGGCTAATCAAAGACACAGAGTTTACTAATATGGCTGTCTTAAAATTTTTAAGCCAGAAAATGATAGTTATTATTTATGCTCCAGTAAGTCTAATATTAGGTTTCATACTGAAACCACTTCACATACTCAACACTTGAAATACTATTAAAATGCTCCAGGAATACTGTAATCTGTATGTCTCATGTAAGAAATATTCAATTAATTACTTTCAGTCCAATTAAATTAGACAGTAAACAATGCCTCTTTTCCCCACCCCCCAACCCAGGCTTACAGAATTTTTTTTTGGTGGGTAGGCAGCAGGGGGACAGGGAGAAAGTGGTAGGAGAGAAGAAAGAAGTCCCCCTTCATACCATCTAGTCCCTATTGCTATTATCAGGTGAAATGTGATCATACTATACATATGATTTTTGTATAGCATGGTTTTATAATTAAACTCCAACAACTGGTTATTTTGTGACAAGAGTTAGCATTTTTTCAAACAACACATGACACTGTAATGCGTTAAAGACTAGCTAATAAGGCTGGTTATCAGTTAAATTAACAAACCAGCAAGCTAAAAATGGAATGGTATAAACAATCTAATATTCTGTCAGATGATTAGCAAGTTATGATATATCACAGTAAGCCTCCATTACTAAGTAATAATTAAACATTTCAATCTTTTACTTTATGTAATATTTTTCATACTATCTAAAGATACCATAACAAATCATATGGGTATTACAGCATAAAGAGATTTGTAAAAAAGTAAAATTTAAGTGATAAGGAAAGTTTTCAAAAAGTAAAAATTACACTTGATGTCAAGTTGAAAGTGTTATAGAAGTTTGAGGCTGGTCAAGTCAGTTTCTACTTTCTTTTCATATACTAAAGCACTATCATGACAAATATTGTGGTGTACTAGAACGAACAGGCAGTTAGGAGATATTGATTCTAGTCCCAACTTTGCCCATAATTGGCTGTGTGGAAATGAGTAAGTTAGCTTTTCTGGACCCCACTTCTAACATTTGAAAAATGAAGCAATTAGATTAGAAATCTGCCTTTAAAATCCCATCCAACAAATTCTCTGATTTTCATGAATAACTTAGGCAAATTTGTGAAGCTTTGGCACTGTTTGACATCATACTGTTATTCTGACTGAGTATGTAGCAGGCCATTTAAACATATACAGAGAATTATAAAACTGTTATTTTCTTTGTAAACATATAATTACAAAGTTTATTGCATCCTCAAGCATAATTTTTATTACATCTTATTATGAACTGCTACCCCTAGAAAAAGTTTCAATGTTATAAATGGGAAAAGATGTTCACTTAAAATTTGCAGTTAGATGAATTTTTATAAAGTGAAAGATATGTGGCATTTTAACAAATTTCAATAGAATACTCAAATTTTAAAATAGCAGTGTCAAGATAGTAAAAAAAAATTTATAACAATACATACGAGGGATCCCTACTTGTTGTTTTCTTATCGCTGGACCGATATTCAGTTTCTTATCCTTATAATTAAGTTTTTCTGCCTAAAATAAAGGGGAAAAAAAGCACTTCAATTTCCCTTCCTTTTGCCAGTCACCTATAAAACTAACAAAAACTTTAGTTTGTGATATCCTTCATAAGCTATGTGAAATCTTCCTGAACACTAAAAACCTATTTTCTTAAAAGTCCTTTATAATCAGTATGGGAAAAAACCCTATACTTGTTAAGTAATGAAAAAAACCAAACACACACAGACTGATAAAAGAAAAAAGAAAACTTCTTCAAAACACTACAGAATATTATGTCTATTATCAATACCCTGAAAAACCATATCACAAGCTTAGTCAAAAATGAAGGTTTTTTTAGCATTAAAGTTGTTTATTTTTTTCCTTTCCTAATACAAGGATGCTGGGATACAACTTGCCATATAATAATCTCCAATGGTTATAATTATAGCTTTCCCCCAAATACTAATCTAAAAAAAGATTGGAGTTAGGCTCCAGTTGTACAGTTTAAGTAGTCGTGTCAATCTTTTTATTTTACAATATATAATTCTGAAAAATATAATCAGGGTCAGAAGTAACTATAGTACAATTACATAAACAAAAGATTTTTTAAAGTGCACTTACTGAGCCCCTCTGAAAATGATTCTGATCTTCAGGAACACTCATTGTGGCAAAAAGAAATGTTTTTGTGCTGATAATAGGACATTTAGGATTTTAAGGTAAATAATTTATTTACTAAAACAAAGTTAAAACACCAGAAGGTTCAAAATCCTTCTAAGTCTTTTAAAGTATAGTGTCAGCAGCAGGGTTTAAATAAAGTCCTGCTTGGAGGCAGCAGGATACACAAGACGACTGACACTGAGGTACCTTCTAATTTTAGGATCCTATGCTTGTTCTGTTCTGTAGGAATCAAATATATCATTAATGGTAAAAGACATGAAGCCCCAAATTCTTCTTCTGTTAGCCTAAATTAAGGGGAAAATTATCTATGATGAATTGTTAAAAATCCATATGAACTAAATTTTTGGAGCTCTTGCAAATATAAATTTTTTATTTAATTGGAATGTTTTTGTTCCAATTTTTTGTAAACAGAAAAATTATTATTGGAAGATGAGAACATTTTACACTTAAGAATAAATGATAATATTAATTATATTGAACTATATTAAAATCAGTGCTTTACATAGCATCAATTCAAAGAGTTTCAAAAATAACGTTAAATGATGAGTTCATGACTAAACAAGAAGAGAGTCATTGAAGGTAAAATGGACTACTTTGATCACACAAAATTATAAAGTTTTTGAACAAACAAAACCAATATACCTAAAATTATAAACTAAGCTTTTAAAAAAAATAATTGCAGCCAGTTTCTCTAAGGTTTCATTTCTAAAGAATAAGAGCCACTCCCCAATTGATAAGTGGTCAAAGGATATGAACAGGCAATTTTCAGAGGAAGAAATACAAACTCTCAATAGCCATATGAAAAAATGCTCTAAGTTACTAATAATTGGAGAAATGCAAATTAAAACAATTCTGAGGTTTCGCCTCATACTGGCCAAGCTGACAAAAATGGAAAACGATAAATGTTGGAGAGGCTGCGGGAAAACAGGTACATTAATGCATTGCTTGTGAAGCTATGAACTGGTTCAACCAATAATAATAGTAAAAATAATTGTAATAATTGGTCCAACTAATAATAAAAGTAATAATAATTATAACAATGATAACAGTAATAGTAGCCAGCAGTTATACAGTGGTTTAAGGTATGGAAACTGTTGTCGCATTTGATCCTCATGACAACTTTATGAGGTAGGTACTATTATCCCATTCTGTTTTATAGGTAAGGCAATTGAGGCTCAGAGAGGCTAAGTTATTTTTCCAGGGTCACAGGCCTATTAAGTGTCTGAGGTGGAATGTGAACTCAAGTCTTCCTGACTCCAAGTCCAACACTCTATCTACCTATACACCTAGTTGCCTAATTTATTAAACTTAACATACCTTTTGGCCAGCAATACCACTACTAGATCTATATCCCAAAGAAACCAAAGATAGAGAACTCATGTACAAAAATAAATATATAGCTCTTTTTTATGTCAAAGAACTGGAAATTGAGGGGGTGCCCATCAATTGCAGGATGTCTGAACAAGTTACATAGTATGGGGATATGAGGGAATATTGTGCTGTAAGAAATGGTAAAGGGAAGATTCTAGATACAACAGGGAAGACTTGTATGAAATGATACGAAGTGAGCAGAACCAGGAGAAAAATTTATACAATAATAATGATATTGGAAAGACAAATAACTTTCAAAAATTCAAGATCCCTGATCAATGCAATGGTCAACCAAAATTCCAGAGCACACATGATGAAATATGTTACTCACCTGACAGAGATGTGATGAATTCCAAGTGTATATTGAGACACCTTTTTTTGGGGGGACATGGCCAATGCAAAAAATTGTTTTGTTTGATTCTACAGATATGTTACAAAGATTTTGTTTTTATTTCTTTTTCAATGCAGGGAAGGTGAAAGGGAGAGAAGACAGATTTTCAATTAACTGAAAAATAATATAAAATTAAATGAATGTGTAAATATATAAAATGTTACATAGATAGAAATGCCTTACCTCTTGCAAAATTTTTTGTGCATCTTCTTGTGTTTCAAAAGTGATGAAACCATACCTAAATAAAATACATTAATTATTTTCTTTTCTGGCATATTTGAGGTAAAATTTTTTTTAAAGAATAAAATAGAGATTTGCATCATTAAAAAAAACCCAAAACAAAAACCACTGTACCATGCTGAGGGAGAAGCTGGATCAATTATTGGCAGTTTAGTAGTCTAACTTTCATGTTCTTCCTCTGATAAATTTCTGGAGCTATGGGTTAAAGCAGTAGCTCCTTCAAAGACCTTGAGATACTATCAGCCTAAGTCAGGACAGCCTCTCAGAACTACTTTCTGTTACATAAATTGCTATTTTGTTGATTTGTTGGATTTTGGGTCCAAGAAAGTAAGTTCACTTTAAACTGATGTTGACCACTCTGCTATTTTCACATCACATCAGTATAGATAATAACAACACGGCAGTGCACCACTGTTATTTATCCCACTTAGGGGCCTGTTTAAAGGTAGTTTGAGGCAGCAATGTGGTACAGTGGACAGAGTGCTGGTCCTAGAATCAGGAAGACTCATCTTTCTGAGTTCAAATCTGGCCAGATACTTAGTAGATATGTGAATCTGGGCAAGTCACTTAACCCTGTTTGCCTCAGTTTCTTCATCTGTAAAATGAGCTGGAGAAAGAAATGGCAAATTACTTCAGTATCTTTGCCAGGAAAACCCCAAATGGGGTCACGAAGAGTTGGATACAACTGAAAAATGACTGAACCACAACAACAACTTATCTGAACATGGACTCAAAATAGCAATCTTAAATCTTAAACATTTTTTATTCAAAAAATTGGAGTATAGCATTTTTATGCTGGTAATAAGTAAACACATTAGTGGGGGAATTAAGCATAATGTGTTTTCCCAGGAAACTACTGATGAGGCATAAATCAAATAAAAATTTTATGTGTACTTGTAGTACATAATTCTCATTTTAATCATGGTTCTTCAGACAACATGGATCACATAAAGCTGTTTCAAGACACATAAGAGTGGCATAGTGGATAAAGTGGCAAAGTGGAGTCAGAAAGACCTAGTTTCAAGACCTGTCTCTCATATGTTGGTTATTGCCTTGGGCAGTTCACTCAGCAACTACAAGTTTCAGAGAAGGTACCAATCTGCACTGGCAGAATTTCTTCATCTAGGAGGAATCACAAGTCCAATCCTGTTCTCTTATCAATTTGTAAGCATGACATTACATAACTTTGCTATGAATATAAAAATCATTTGTTAATGAATTTTCTGGGAAGAGGTATAAAGAAGAAAAAACTTTAGTAAGAAACAGTACCTTTGTTGTGTTACTTTTCCCAAACTAGTAAAATCTAATTAATAGTGTACTTATTTACCTGCTTACCTTTCCAAATATCAGCAATAGAAAGTTATTTTTAGATAAAGTCTTTTATCTTTTTTTATTCTAGTACATTCATCAAATTTCTTTAGTCTGATATTTTGAATATAACATGTATATCAGATAGAAAAAGGATTTATAATTCCATGTGTGTTTTAAAATTATATAAAATGTTTAATAAAAGCTCTGCTATTCAATATAGTTGAGGAATAAAATATAACATTTACTAAGCACCCCTGTGAAGAGAGGTACATATTGTTCAAAGTTTAGACAAGATGCAGTTCCTGCCCTCATGGAACTTATAAAGTAAAGAAAAATAACATATCAACACATAATGTGTAATATTGCATATTAGAATTTAGTGCATTAAAGAATTATAAAACAAGGTGCTACATGAAGTCTGGGTGAAAGTTATCAGCAACTCCAGAGTGGGGGGGTAGGAATCAGGGATAGCTTTTTACAAACAAGAAGGTGGCATCTGAGTTGGGTTTTAAATGATGAGTAGGAATTCAACAAATGAAAAAAGTAGACATTCTAGGCATAACGAGTGGCTTTGGCAAAAGAAGAGAGGCATGACAGCCCGATGTACATTAAGGGGGCAAAGAATTACCTCATTTGTCAGGAGTATAGGGTGTGAAGAGGAGTAATAGGAGATGAAGCAGGATAGTATCAAACAGCGGAATGTGAATTTTATTTAGGGAGAAATAGGGAGCCATTCAAGAGTTTTTAGAAAAAAGTAACATGAGTGGATCTATGAACTGTGTTAAGCAGTGAGGATAGAAACACAAAAAGGAAACAGTCCTTGCCTTGAAGAAACTTACATCCTACTGGGCAAGATAGTATGTACATTGATGAGCAACTACAAAATAGACAGAAGGGAATTTTGAAGGGAAGAACCAACAGCTGGGGGAAACATATATTAAAGGTGGTGCTTCACTCTTAATTTTGAAGGAAATAAAAGATTCCAAGTAGAGTTGGGAGTGGTTTCCAGGCGAGAAACTGTCACAGAGATAGATGATGTATTATGTTTGAGGAACAGTAAGAAGGCCCATTTGGATGTAAAATTATGATGTATGAAATCAGTTTGATTTTATGACTTTTCTCAGCGATAGCAGTTACTTTTTCCTTCTGAATATAATCTCAGGTTTAAAACTGTCTCACTTTTGCACTGATATCTTTAGTGCTAAGCACAGTGCCTGATACACACTAAGTGTTTAACAAATCCATTCATCTATCCATCTATTCATCCATCCTTCCCTTGAGCAGAGGTAGATCTATCAGGTTCTGGGGAGTACTCAAGGATGAAGATGTGTAGGCTGGTAATGGAGTGTTAGAAAGACAGGGGATTCCAGGTTAGTAGTGAAATCAAAGTTTTATATGGAAGCAAGTGAATGGGAGGAGATGGACTGGAAGAATAGTAATGTCAAGGAACTGAAGGCTAGCATAAAGCATAGAGTATTAACAAATAAGAGTGGGGAGAGTAGGCTAGGAGATTGTGATGAGAGAATGCAATTTCACATTACTCAGTGTATGTTGGAGATATTGTTGGAGTTGATAAATGGATAAAGTGGTTAAAATAAATGATATTTACTAGAGTGAAGAATCATGTAATTAAGTTGTTAGATTCAAAAAAATTAAAAAACTTATTAATTATCTACTGTGCACAAGTTAAAATGCTAAGCATTGAAAATAAAAAGGAAAAAATGATATATAGTCCTGGTCAAAAAGCCAACATGCTGAAGGAGAGCTATGGCAGGCACTTGAGTTAAGCATAATATAAGGTAGAATATGATAAGTATAGAGAAAAGATCTAGAAAAGTCTGACAAGGGAGAGACAATTTTCAGCCAGTAGTAGTAGCAGAGAAAAAGCAACACTTGAACTAAACCTTGAAGGAAAAAAGGATCTGAAATGCAAAGATCAAGAAGGGATGGGCCTGCCTGAAAGCATGGAAACAGAGACAGTGTGCTGAACTGAGGAGGATCTTAAATGCTAAGAAAATAAGCTTATATTTTATCAAATAAACAACAGGGAACCACTTAAGCTTTTTGAGTAGGGAAGTAACAGTCAGATGTATAAACTAGGAAGATCATTTTGGCAGTTTTGCGAAGGAGACAGTGAAGTCAAAGAGACCAATTAGAAACTTGTTATAATAGTCCAGTGAAGTAGAAAGAATGCTGCATTTGAAGAGGACTTGGGTTTGAATGTGTGACCTAGGTAGCTAAGTGCCTTCCTCAATTAATTATTTCCTATTTATCTTGTATATAGCTTGCTTTGTATATATACATTTTTTTGCATGTTGTCTTCCCCCATAGGTTATAAGATCCTTGAGGGCAAAGATTGTCTTTTGCCTCTTTTTGTATCTCCAGTGCTTAGCACAATGCCTAGCACACAGTAAGCTTAATGTTTATTGACTGATTGATTGGGTAACTGCTAGGTCAGTGATAATCAAAAGAAATGGAGTATCCTGTATCAAGTATTAAAGTCACTGAAGATATTGGGAGAATGAACAAACTGTAAATGACAAGAAGGAAAAAAGATGATGATGTAAGTTGATTACACCTGACTCATTTCACTCCTGTTCTCAATATAAAATGGCAGCTTCCCAATGCAAAATGGATCAAACCTCAACTCCTCAAAATAGAATTTAAGGCTTTTCAACATCTGCCTCTATCATATTTAGCAAACCTAAAGTCTTTCTGGTCAGTTAGTGACACAGTGGATGGAGCACTAGGCCTTCAGTTTGGAAGCTCTGAGTTCAAATCTAGCCTCAAACACTTACTAGCTGTGTTAACACTAGGCAAGTCATTTAGCCCTGTTTGGCTCAGTGTCCTCATCTGTAGCTGGAGAAGGCAATGGCAAACCACTCCAGTATCTTTGCCGATAAAACCTTGACATGACTGAAAAACAACTGAACAATAACAATAACAAATTTTTTGCTACTCATGTACATGAATCTTAACAAGCCAGCCTCATTCCTGTCATCCACATGGTCCAATATTATTGTTTTCCATATCTTTAATTATCCTGCTTTCTCTTCCTTATTTTTTCTCCATCTTATTCTTTGTCAGCTTAAATTCTACCCTTTAAGATCTACGCTGGAGATCCACTTATCTTTACAAAGCTTTCTGAAATACCCTAGCTTAAAATATTTCCCTTCTCTAAATTCCTTTAATATGTAGCCATTCCTTTGAACTGACTGTATATGTAATCCATCATAATTTTTTCTAATTGCATCATATACAGGATGTCCCAAAACTTGGTGCAATTTTAAGCTTAATAAACATATTAACCACACCAAGACTTTTAGGACACCTTGTATGTCTTGACTCTACTAAATTGTAGGCTTCTGAAGGACAGAGACAATGTCATATCATTTCACACAGAGGCTAGTACTTAATACTAATCACATTCTGGTAACAGAATTATCATACTATTATCACTAACTCTTGATAAATTAGTATAAAATGCACTTAATATTAAAATTATTCTGAACACTTTTTACTATTTCTTAAATGACCTTGAGGCATTGTAAAATTTTTAAAATTCCTCCTGAGTCAAAGTATCTTTATAGTGCCTTAGGGTCATTCTCATGAACATCAGATGCTATTGTGCCTTACATACATGGAATTGTGAATTATACAAAATCCTGGTTCATAGAAGATTGGACAGCAGGTAATTTAGCAGAGAATCAAACAGATTCACTTAATCAGCATGAATTCCTAAAAATTAAGATAGTTGTCTCTTGAGGATATAGGAAGGATAACTAGTAAACTTTGACAAGAAGATTAAATATGACAATAAAGAATAATACTTACCCATGGAAATTTCATTATTTCACTTACATATCTCATACTTCTGCCACTGTCTCTAACTCTTAGTTGTTTACTCTAGGATTTAAATGTCCATTAGTCCTTTTGACCTAACTTAGGGATGGCTTCCTTGATAAGGAATATTATTATTATCCTATCATATTTCTATATGAAATTAGAAAACAGACAGCAATGGGAGGTGCCAATACAGAATAATAAGACATATGTTTTAATCTTAGCTCTAAATCTTAGAATAGAATATGAATTTAATTTCAATTTTTTGAACATGTACTAATCACAACCGTACTAACCCTTTTGACACTCCAGCTCTGTCATTTACAATCTTCACTTCTTTCACAGACCCATACTGGGCAAAAAATTTCCTTAAGTCATTTTCATTAGTCTAATGGGGGCAAAAGCAAATAAACAAAAAACAAAGTGAAAGTCTTTTCAAACAAAAAAATTAACAGAACAATCTTATGACTATTTTGGATACAATATAAATGACACCATTCCCACCTCTGTTACATAAACAGTAGATGAAATTATCTGGAGAGAACATAAGCTTCTTGAGGGTAGGGACTGTTTCATTTTTATCTTTGTATTCCCAATGCTTACCTAGCATGGGGCCTAGCATATTGAAGCACTTAATAAAAGGTGATTAATTATTTAGCATGTTTTATTTTTGCTAATTTAATAAAAAATAGTTGTAGAAAGGGAAATATTTATAAAATTAGCTGCCAATTTTTAGTCTGTACAAAGGATTCCAGATTAGAAAATCACTTCACTAGTTAATAAAACCAGTTATTTATTTAAACTAACTAAAATATACCTTAATAGGAGGGTAAGACATTGAATTATTGTGGACTAATAAAATTTGGGAGAGATGGGATTTGCACTGAATCCTCTGACACCAAAATCATGCTACTTTTTACTACTTTCCTTTAATTAAATAGATATTAAGTTTCTACTATGTAGAAAAGCACCATGTTAGCCTCTGGTGACAGAAATGAAATAAGACACAGTCCCTTTGCCTGAAAGGATGAAGGAGCAAGTCATAAGATGCACATATTATAGAACTTAGCATATTTCCTATGTGCTTGCATTCTAACACATACTATGGTTACACAGGTATGCTTGCTTTATCTCCCTTACTAAGTTGTAAGCTCCCTGAGAGGATGGATTGTACATAATTTTGTGTTAGTATTACTGGTGTCTAACAGTTTGAAAATAGTAGGCACTTAATAACTGATTGTTGTATAGTTTCTACACTTGTCTCTTTGAGTGAAAACAATCAGTGGGTTTGCCCCAGAGTAGGTACTGGAATTGTTGGTTTCCATCTTAGAGGGTTTACCTCTTTTTTGTTGTCTAGCAAACACTTCGTTCATTCACTTTTGAAGGTTTTAAGTCACAGTGAAGTACTACACAGACTATATCCAATTTAATTCTAAAACTTAAAGTCAAAGGAATGCATTCTCTTGGCCTCATAAATTACTGAACTTGGTTTCAACAGAATTCAATATAATTTTATTTGTCAGAACATAAGCTTCTTGAGGGTAGGGACTGTTTCATTTTTATCTTTGTATTCCCAATGCTTACCTAGCATGGGGCCTAGCATATTGAAGCACTTAATAAAAGGTGATTAATTATTTAGCATGTTTTATTTTTGCTAATTTAATAAAAAATAGTTGTAGAAAACTACCAGAAACCTTTATGATTAAATCAACATTAATTTAAACAATAAAGTTATTCTGAAACTCAGAACAAAAATTTGCAATCTCTGTAAACCTTTGCTGATTAGATTTCCAAGTATGATGGTTTTTCACGTAATTCCTTTAAATCAAAACAGCCAGTTAAAGACAGCAGGTCACGTTACCTCAAAATAATTCCAATAAGTGAGTCTACTGCAATTTAATTTTTAAAATAAAAATAGATCCAGTAAAACACTTTCAGGTATAGGCACTGATTACTTTCTTTTTCTCCCAGCTCAAAATGCTTCCATAATGTATGGAACAGGCCTCTATCTACTTAATAAAGATATGAAAATTTGAACATTAAAAGTTAGTGGCAAGACAATTTCTGATATCACTGTTCTACTATCTACAGTGCCTAGTTGTTATTTTTACTTAGGTTCTATTTATTCAATTCATAAATACCAACATTTATGGGGCATCTAGTATATACAAAGCAACATGTTAGTTGCTGTGGAAATCAAACTTTGCATACTGTTACTAAGACCTCAAAGATGATCTTAGTCTCCCCCCTTGACTTCAATCAGAAATCAGTGGGAACAAAGTTAATATAGAATAAAGAAAATAATCTAAATGATACTCTCTGGCAAGCTATGACACAATATGGAAAAAAGCTAAACTTAAAAGTCACTAGACTTGAGTTCAAATCCTGCCTCTGTCACCTGTGTGACCTTGAGAAAAGCACTTAACTTTCTGAACCTCAGTTTCCTTACCTATGAGGAGGGAGAGGCTTACCCAAATGACCTCCAAGGTCCAATTCCAACTCTAAAGTTATGATCCTATGATTTATTTTAATAAGCATTCAGTTCTATTTATCAGACCAAAAGTGAGAGGCAGAAATCAAAAGCATGAGGTGAACATGTACAAGGTAAACATTTAGATAGAGGTGAAACAGAAAAGTTTTAGGTTTCTAAGAAAAGGAAGTTTAAAAGACCCTTTGTCATTACTACTGCCCACTTTTTGCCTGAAACCCATACTAGCCTCAGAAAATGGCCATATAAGGATATGGACTTCACTTGGATCCTTCCATAGAGGCTACCTCAAAGATGCAAATATTAAATGTATAGCTGGTATAGTAGATTCTAAAAGCTCACATTGTAGTGAAATATTTTTACCTGTATCATTGAAAATAATTTACCATACCCCTCAAAATGATTTTCTATACTGGTAAATTCTCAGTTTCTTTCTGTGTCAATTGGGGGTGATAGCATTTGCCTTATTTACCTCCTAGGATTATGGAGATCATTAAGTGAAATGTAGAAATAAAAGGAGTAACAAATTTGTTTATAAGTATTATTGCTGTAGTAAACCAGAATCACAGTGCCAAACAAAAGTTCTAAGACCAAAAAAAAAAAAGCCCCACTACAGAAAAACTTATTTTTTTAAGTACCTTAAAGTCAATTCCTCCAACGAAGATACGATTAGGAATCACTGTTCCAAATCTTGGGGCACTTGTTGGGTTATTCAAAGGCACAGGTGACACAGGATTGGGGGATGGAGATAAAGAATCTGTTTGCGTCTGATTTGTGGTTTGCTATAAAACAAAAAATACTTTTAGGATTTATTTTTAATATCTTTTATGATATCGACACAGGGTAAAGATAGATAACTACCTTATAAAGATGATATTAAAAGGTAATGACAAAGGAACAAACCTTAATATTTCATTATGTTTTATAGTTTCTTTTAGCTAGCCTTATAAAAGTAATCCCTATTATAATAATACAGGAAGGGCCTAAATCAGATGAGTTCACAATATTAAAAATATTAACACCTTTTTTGGTAGGGTAGGTAGAAAAAAATCAGGAAAATGTATGTGCACAAATTGTCAGGTGGAAATAGAGTAAAAAAATCAAAGGGAGATTAAAGCAATCCTTTACTGAGCTTGAAACAGCCCCACACAGGTTAACAAAGTAACTTTATGACATCATTAACTCAATATGTATTTAAAACAAAGCTAAACAAAAAAAAGTCTCTGTACTTGCCACACTGCAGACAGGATTTGGGAAATAACTGAAAGTTGTGTAACTGATGTCTAAATAAATAATATTGTAGTCTTGAATTTGTTATACCAAGGGCCTGTTTTCAGAAAACATTTATATGTGCACATAGTTTTAACCAAGACAAAAGGATATTATTTAAATAACTTCCAGAATAGAAGTCCAAACAGAAGCACAATTCAAGAACTTGCTGGGTTTTTTTACTTTTTGACTTTCTCCTTTTCTATATTAGCTGAAGTTCTATATGTAAACAGCCTAATTTTCTCAAATAAGGACAAAAATTTAAGTTTACCAGCCTAATAATTTCTGCCCTGTTAAGTTAAAGGAATGATTCCAAAATCATGTCTTGTGGAATACTGGTAGCTCAAGAAGATACAAACAAAGGGCTTGTTAGAAAATTTTATAAATCTTGGAGAAGATGTGGGAAAATTGGAACACTAATGGACTGTTGGTGGAGTTGTGAAATGACCCAACCATTTTGGAGAGCAATTTGGAACTATGCTCAAAGGGCGATAAAAATGTGCATACCCTTTGACCCAGCAATAGCATTTCTAGTGCTGTATCCCAAAGAGATCATACAAATGGGAAAAGGACCCACATGTACAAAAATATTTATAGCAGCTCTTTTTGTGGTGGCAAAGAATTGGAAATTGAGGGAATGCACATCAATTGGGGAATGGCTGAACAAGCTGTGGTATATGAATGTAATGGAATACTATTGTGCTATAAGAAATGATGAGCAGGGGGACTTCAGAAAAACTTGGAAAGACTTGGAGGGATTGATGTTGAATGAAGCAAGCAGAATCAAGAGAACTTTGTGCACGGTAATAACCACGTTGTATGATGACTAACTTTGACAGACTTAGCCCTTCTCAGCAAAGCAAGGATCTAAGACATCTCCAAAGGTCTCATGATGGAAAATGCTATCCACATCCAAAGAAAGAATTATGGAGTTTTAATGCAGATGGAAGTGTACGATTTGCTATTTTTTTCTTGTGTTTTGTTTTCTCTTTCTTGTGGTTCCTCCTTTTGGTTCTAATTCTTCCTTACAACATCACTAATGTGAAAATATATTTAATAAGAATGTATATGTAGAGCCTACATCAGATTTCATGTTGTCTTGGGAAGGGAGGCAGGGAAAGAGGAGGGAGAGAAATTTAAATCTCAAAAGCATATGGAAGAGATTTTTAATAAATTAAAATAAATTAATAAAAAATAAAATAAAATAACTACAGACAAAAATAAGAAAATTTTAATACAAGTCACAATTACTCACTGATACACCAGACAACTTTCAGCCTCTTCCTGGAGAAGCACTGCTTAGGCAAGAGCCAGCTAATCTAATGTTGATCAGGAATGGGTGGGGAGAAGAGTGGAAGGAAAGAGATGGTGCTGGTATCAGGGACAGCAAAGATAATGCTTGTTAATTTGATCAGTGGCAGGTGAGTGTGGCTCCTAACCACCCTGCAGAGGATAGGACTCTACTTAAGTCATCAACATGGAAATCCTACCCCAGTAGCACAGGTTAGATTCTGTATGAGGTTTCCCTCCACTCCTATTCCACTATGACTGTCCTCTTGTTACCTTCACATTCCTAAAAGTCTTCTGAAGCCAAATTATTTTTCCTGATTAGAAAAATAGGCTTCACAGAAATCATTCAGCTTGATTCATTCGTTCATTCATTCATTCAGTCAGTCAGTTAGTCACATGGATAAAGAAAAGGAAGAGATTTTCATTCTCTTAGGGAGGTAAATGAAAAGTTGGCTGCACATTTGTTGAAGTCTTATACTTTTAGGGGGATGCACAGCAACAGTCCCTCCTTGTTCTTGTTATGTTCATGCTACAGAAAAGTAGCCAAGTCAGTCATATAAAGGGCCACGAGCTAAAGCTCCCAAGGTCAAGTACAGGAAAATGAAGAAAAATAACATAAGGGAGGAGGGAAAGATGGGTTTTGCTTCCTTCTGTGATTAAGCTATACAAAGAAAAAAAGTAACAAGTCACCATGTTAGAATTCCTTGGCTAATTATATTATATTTAAAACAATACATTCATGAAACAGCAGAAAAATTTTGTTAAGTAAGTCACATCAGGTCACAAATAATAATAGAATGAATCTATTAAGCACCTAATATGTGCAAATACAACTATTCTCAAGGACCTTATGTTTTAATGGTGGAAACAACAGGTACAAACACACACAACACACACACACACAGAGGATTTTCACGTTATAAGGTTTGAAGAAGTTCATCTATAAATTATTTAGAAACACTAACCATATTTCGCTCAAAGACAAACACCATTATATTGCCCATTAATAGAAATGAAGCAGTATTAGTTTTGTTTCTCAAACTGTGGATTTTTATTATCAGACAAAAACTCTTAACAGTTTTTAGAGATAGGCAACAGATCTCAATTAATGTTACTCTTAAATTCTATTTGGAAATTCAAGTCCTTTTTTTCTAAAATATTTTCAGTCAAAAGGGTAAATGGATAGCAACAGATTGTTGGGGTTAGACCAGTCTAAGAAAATGAGGATCAAATATCCTTCCCATTTTGGGAAGGTAGGATTTGGGAAGAACTCAAGAAAAGATGGATAAGCATTTTTAAAAGAATTTAATAATCCCTAAAAGCCAACCTGGAATGAGGAAAAACAAATCATGCCCTTTCCTAATGGGTTATATGCTAACTTAATAACTCTTAAAAACTTTCAAGACCATGGCAATTTATTAAAGAAATAAAAATAAAATTGACTTCAGTTCTGTACAACCTCTTTCTGTAGCAACAGTGGTACAGTATTGGGAAGGAAGGCAGAGCAAGGTGAAATTGCTTTCATCATGTGCCCAGAGGCAACAAAAAACATTTCAAGGGACACTCGGATCATCGCTTGAAGTGCTCCTGATAGAGCATAACCAGAAGGACTGTCATGAAGATAACTGAAGTTTAAGTACTAATGTAAGTCACATAGAATGAGTAGGTGGAGCAAACCTATAAAGAACCTCCAAACTAATTCAACTTATGCTTTGATATTCAGTCACTTCATGTGAAGGTGGGCATGGAGCAAAATGGAGGGAAAGTATGCATTAGATTTCAGAAATGCACGTTTCAAAGACTTGTACACTCCTCAGAAGTCTCAAGTTTATAAAAATGTTCTTCCCTAAGTTTAATACTCAGAAAGTGCTGGCCCAGCAGGCACTGAATACCCTCAAAATGAAAATGACTATCTTAAAAAAATTAAGTGACTGATTGATGATGGAGTCATATCAGAATTAGTATATTCAGGCAGTTGACTCATTGGAGCAAAAGTCAAAATCAATGTTATTAGAACAAAGGACACAGATAAGACAATATGTACAATGCAATAATTTCAACCCAATCTATTCAAATATTAATGCCCCAAAAAGGGTAATGGAAAGAGTCAATTATATTGATCTTGATGATCACCTTTTGCTGTATAAACTTACCTATTACAAGTAAAATAATCACAATATGGAGGTCAAAAGAGCAAGTAACTTAACCAACAAATAAGTGAATTCATAAGAGAGCTAGGAGCAACACTAATTGAGAATGTAAACATCTGTAATAATAATTAGGTGACTGTGGAAAATTAGAAATATTGTCTCATAAAACAGAGAAAGGCAATGAAAATATATCTATACAGAACCTGGACTCAACTAAGCCATTATTAACCCAAGATGAAACTAACAGAACAACAAACGGATGAAAATTGGAACAGATGTACCTACATCTCTATAAATCAATTTCACAATCAATGACAACAGAACCACTTCTGGACTACAATACCATATACCCAAATATGTCTGAAATGCTACTTAAGAGAAAATGAAATTCAGGAAGGACACCTGGACTAAATCAAGTACCCACCAAGGAAATGCATGCTAGAAACAAAACAATTTTGAAATCATTGAAGGATTAATCTACAAAAGTACTTCAATGAGGATGAGTCAAGAAAATGGTAAAAATCATGGGTAATTTTAATAGACAACCAAGAAGATATTAGTAACTACTAAACCATACGTCATTTTCTCAGCTTAAAAAAATTCATGAGTTTTTATACTACCATGTTTTATGTTATAAACATATCTAGGATAGCTGATGAAAACTTCAGATGGGTCTGGGCAGGTTTTTGGCAAACCATTTTCTACAGCAGACCCCACATTTACAGTAGCATAATTAATGTAAGGTCATTTAGAGTAAGGATTGTTCTAATTTATACTTGTGTCTACAGCACCTAACACATTGCCCAGCACATAGGCACTGCATAAATGCTTGATGTTTTACTGAAAAGTACCAAGAACCTAAAATCTTATTTTGTTGATTACCCACTTTTTTCTCCTCCCCACACCCCAAATCCTAACCCATTTCATTTCACTATGTGGAGGAAAACACTGTATTAATGACTCTCCTCAAATAAGTAGTCTTTCAAGTCTGTATTAGGCTCATAAAGATTCTTTGTTAAGAGGAAAATAGGGGTGAGCTAGGTGGTACAGTGGATAGAGCACTGGCCTTGGGAGTCAGGAGGACCTGAGTTCAAATACAGGCCTCAGACACTTACTAGGTATGTGACACTGTGCAACTCATTTAACCCTGATAGCCTTTTTTTTTAAAAGGAAGAATATATGCTTGACAAAAGTGTTCACTGTTATCATGGAGGTGGTCTTGTGCAAGGTGACTGATTCTATAAAAGGCAAAGTGATCCAGAGGTGCTATTTTGCAGATAATATTGTGCTAATTGCTATAGGTACAACGATACTGATTTCAAAGTATTTAGCAGTCTACCATGTCATACTTATGGTTAAGATACTGAATTTTAATAATAGTGTTTTAGTCTTACACATAAAATTACATTTTATGCTTATACATAAAATTTCATTTGATTCTCATATCTACTCTGTGTTAGGCATGGCAGGTATCATCTTACTTTGTAGATTAGGAAACTGGCTCAGAAAAATAAAATGACTTGCCCAAGAGCATATGGCTCTTGGGTTGCATAAGGTCTGAAATCAACAGGATTAAATTTCAGCAGTAGCTAAAGACCTGAATTTAAGATTAAAAAACAAAACAAAACAAAATCAACTGCAGAAATATAAAGTAAGATAACATAAGATATAAATGGCTTGGTAAATTAAAAAAACCCCTGAGAACCTTAAGGCTTAGTTGACTTTCAGCTGAATATGAGTAAAAAAGGGACAAATTTGCTACCCATGTAAATAAAATTTTAGGCTACAATTAGAGGACAGTGGCCATACCAAGGAAAGTGAATAATCTCACAACAGTCTTCTATTACAGATTACAAATGTTGCCTGGTCACTATATTTTGTCTGGTTTTGGGTACCATACTTTAATAACAACAAACTAGGTATGGTGCCTAATAAAACTATTATGCCTATGGTGATGTGAAATCTTGAAACAATGTCAAATAAGGTATCATTGGGGGAACTGGAAAGTTTTGTTCTGAAAGAGCCCCAACTTGGAAATACAGATGTGTACAAATGGCTGTTTTTAAGTATTTGGAGAAAATTTCTTATGGAAGAAGCAGATTTATTTTAATTTGATTTACAGAGCTCAAGGAGGACCAACAAGAAAAAGTAATTAGGGAGCCTACTCTGGGTTCAATACAAAGAATTTCCTAACAATTAGAGGTAGTCAGTAACCAAAGAGTAGCAAACACTACATTGTTATTGGAAATGTTTAAAACAGAAGCTGGATGATGGTTTATTAGAAATATTATACACAGTATTCTTATTCAGAGAGAAAAGCTGAACTAGATTACTTTTTTCTAGATTACTTCTAAAGTACATTCTAAAATTTAATAATAACGTGAAAATCTCAAAATACTTTGACAATAACATTTTACAAAAGCCATTCTGAAGAACAAATAAAGTAAACTTTCATTAAAACATTCAAAGAAATTCAGTAGTAGGTTGTTTTAATTACTTTCAAAAACTGGACCGATCTGAAGAAAATTCATGAACTTATTTTATTTCAGATGCTGTTGAAATTTGGAAGAAAAAGACTATGACCTTGAAAAGCAAGAATAGAACAAATACTACTAGCACATTTGGGGGGGAAAGGGGGAATTTGAAGTATTGATGTCAAGGTTAATTCTTAACTGCTGAAGAACAAATGGCTTTGAAGAGATAATTTAGTAATTATCTTCCCTGATATCAACTAAATTTCTGGGCTAAGTTTTAACACCTGCCTATCTAGAATATCCATAGAATCTGTATGTAGTACATTAAAATCTTACCACTTCAAACTGAGAAGGCCAACCTGAATTAGAGAAGTCTGTACCGTACAATATTTAACAAGGAATGCTTTTTCATCACCCAGCTGTAAGTTCTATAAGGATTCTTTTAGGAGATAACATTAATGAAAAGTTTAAAATTGCATGTATATGAAAAGACTTGCAGAAAGGTTGTTTTGAGAATCCATTTTTATCAAAGTGGTTAAACACTAACTTTTGTTTATACAGAAATTTTTCTCCTTGTAATTTGGCAGAAATCTAACTTTCTGACTAACATTCACATACCTGGTTGAAATGTGCGTAGGGATCTGATTTGTTGAGATTTTACTGTACTTAAGTCAACTCTGAATTATATGCATGGATTACCTATGGCAAACTTGTCTCTGGCTAGACTTTTTTTTTTAAGGGGAAGAGAGGCTTGAATAGAACAAACCCCTTTTCAACATTATTTAACTATTCATTCCTTTTACAAGAAATGTTATAAATATCAAATATTTCTCAGATATATAAGAAACTTACCTAAATGGTATACTCTAGATCACTTCCCATAAAAACAGGAAACTTACTGACTTCCAACTAAAATAATTTATTAATTCAGTGCAAAAGTTATGCACATAGAATTTTAAAAAAAATAATATGAAGAACTGCAGAGAACAATATGCACGTACAGTCCACATACGTGGCTATCTGTATAACAAAGACTCTATTGCTGGTTAACATTTTCTTCTAATAAAGCTAACTGAAAATTGAAAATGAGTAACTTTTGTATATCACTGTATAGTTCCACAAAGGTTTTCTTCACAATTCTGAAGGAGACAGTGCCTTTATGTTCATTTTACAGATGAAGAAACTGAGGCTCAGAGAAGTTATCTAACTTGCCAAAGGTAACACATCTAGTAAATATCTCACCTCTTGATTTCAAATACACTCCCCAATACACCTGTCTGCCTTAAAAGAGATATTACTGAGGTTAATGGTTTAGAATACAGCCAACGATTTCCCCCCAAATTTGAGAATGGAGAAAAAGGTAATGCTTTTTGAGAGAAGGGAGAAAAGTAATGGAAATGGTGTTTGATCATTCAATTCCTAATTCCTGAGTGGAGGGAAAGTTAAAAAGGGAGACTTTATTATTTGTGAAAAGGAAAATACAAATTGTATTAGATCTCAAAGGATGTGTCTGTGACAGGAAAAAAACGGCCATTTATAAAACAAAACCTATGAATCTGTCTCTGTAATGATTGTCAAGACAGAGATTCTCTTATTTCCACTGTATAAGTTATCACTGATGCAATCTGGCGATTAAAAAAAGAAGAAAAAACGGCACCTAGGTGGCACAATGGAGAAAGTACTAGGCCTGCAGTCAGGAAGACTATCTTCCTAAATTCAAATCTAGGCTCAGACACTATCTGGGCAAGTCATTTAACTGCCTCAGTTTCCCATTTGTAAAATAAGCTGGAGAAGGAAATGTCAAGCCACTCCAGTGTCTTTGCCAAAAAACCCCCAAAGAGGTTAAGGAAGAGTTGGACACGACCGAACAACAACAAAAACATATTTCTATCATTTAATTCTGTGGGTAATTTTGTGCTTCCATGACAGCATCTAAGTAACATTACAGTAGCTTTCAGAAAAATGGATCCATCACTTACTAAAGACGAAAACTCCATTCCATACTGCACACCTTAATATTCAATAGAAATAGTTCGGCAAAAATACTCCTATTAGTAAAATTCTTTCCCACAGTAATGGCCATTTAGTGACTTTTTTTCTTTAAAAATGAAATGCCACGGCTCAGTTTAACTATAAAACGTGAGAACGTTTGCAGACGGAGCTGGAAGAAGAGGACGCGCTAACCGTCGCGGTCCCCGCCTCCGAGCCGGGTCCCTTCCGCGGCCGGCAAGCCGGGAGATGGACGCGGCAAGCATTGACTCCGGGAGCCTGGGACCATCACCAGGGCCGGCACAATCTCGAGGGGCAACCCGCTCCCCAGGAGGGCGCGGGGGGGAAATGAAGGTACACCGGCGGGCCATTACGGCCAATAAAGGCTGGCCCAGCCTCCAGCCTCAACGCGCCCCCACCGCTGCACTAAAGCCAGGACCCAGCCAGAGGAAACCTCAACGGCCTCGTTCCCGCCTCGCGCCGGCCTTCCAAGCGCGCGTGCCGGGCCTGACCTCCCTCCCGCGCACCGGCGCGCTCATTGGCCCTCCCGCAGGCGAGGGGGCGGGGCAGAACCTTGCAGGACACGTTGCCTCAGGGCCGCAGGCCGGCCCCTCCCCTCCCTCCGGCCTGTCCCCTCCTACACCAGAGAAGCCGAGCAAAGCCTCAGACAGGCCCTGCCCCCGACTCCAGTCCCCGCCCGTCATTTTCTGCAGGGGCGGGGGCTACTCCGCAGCCTCACGAGGGGCTTCCTCGAGGCCTGAGTTGGCCACGGCTGAACCACAAAAATTCCCCTTTCCTGGGAGGCTGGGTGGGCGCCGGGAGGGTGCGTGGTCTTCGAGGCCGTGGTTTCGGCGGGAAAGGAGAGCTCAAGGCCCCCGGCCTGCGAGAAGCGGCGTCGTCATCGTCTAGCCTCAGTCACCTGCCCAGTCTCCCTCCCGAGGCATATGGCCGGGGCCCTTCCAGAGGCTCCCCCCCACGTCAGGCCGCCCTTTTTGCCCGCCCGAGCCTGGCTCCCCAGCTCTCGGAGCTCTCCACCCGCGCCCCGACGACTGGCCCGTGGTGGCGGCGTTAGAGGCCATAGCCCGGCCTCCGGAGGAAGGGTTGGGGCGGGGGCCCCTTCCTCGGGGGAGCTGTTGACCCAGCCCGTCTCAACCCCAAAACGGAAGCCCCGAGCCCCCCCGCCCCCCCCCGCGCACCCAAGAAGGGTAGACGGGGAAGGCGGCGTCTGAGGCGGCCCGGCCCGCCCCGGGATCCCGTCCCTCTACTCACCGCTCCCGAATCCGTCTCCATCTTCCCTGGGCTCCCTTAGGGAGAAAAAAAAAGTTTTAAAGTGTAAAAAAAAAAAAGCCAACTAAAAAAAGCCCGGACCTCGAAACCTTCAAATAAATGAAGCAGCACCACGTTTCCCGACGAGAGGCACTTTCTCCTTCCCACCCCCCCACCCCCCCCCACTCGCGGCTGTGGCTACACAGGCGGCGGCTCCAACGCGGGGGCGTGAACCTGGTACACTCGAGAACAAACTCAAGTCCCCTCTCACCCCCGGGAGGGGGGGGAGGTGGTGCGGGCGGGCCCTTTAACCGAGGGAGGGGGCGCAGCGGGCGATTCCTGGGACCTCTCCAAGGATGCTGTGCTGCGCGGCAGGCGCGGGCGGGCGGCTTTTGCCTTGCCCAGGCAAGGGTGGATTACCAGTAATCTGAAGGGGGCAGGCGGAAGGCAGAGTGAATCTTCTGGGAGAGGAGGGTGTCGAGGAAGACGGAGGGGGCCTCACTTTAAAGTTGAGGTGAAACAGTATATGTAAAGGACAAGGCAAACTTTAAAGCGATATGTAAATGCCCGTTGTTGCTACTCTTTTTTTTCTTTACTATTATTACCACGAAGTGGCTAAAAAGGTCTGAGGTTTCGGGGTGGGGGTCCCGAGCGCCTAGGCTAGGTCCGTAGTCGCTTACTTTATCCTTGTTTCAGAGGGCTGGGAGCAAAGGGAGCGTAATTAGGAGACATTGACTCTCTGCTGGTGACTTTCTTTCCTTTTCTTTCTCCCTCTTTTTAGAGGCTTAAAAGAAAGATCTCTCATTAGTTTAGAAATATTGCTTTCTCACTGTTCCAAGGATTGTTTTTCAAAGGGGGGACTCTCTAAAAGCTCAACAGGAGCAATTGGGGAGAGACTGGTGAAAGGTGAAGAGTGGGATTCCTGAGACGCCATGGACAGCTCCCCCACCCCACTCTCCACCTGCTGTCGCTGTCACTCATCCCTGGGAAGGAGAGCAGAGGGCAGGCTCTGGGAACAGAGAGCCCTGCATGCCCCGCTGCTCACCCGCAGACTCTGTTTAGGAGCCACTCAGAAGAGAGGAGGTTTTGGGTCACTCACCGTTTGTCTCGGGAAGAGTCCCGAAATGACCACTTTAGCAGGGGGAGGTTATTGCAAACTCCACCTTCCTGGAAAGGACGGTCTCCAGGTTCTTGGCTTCTGGCCCTCAGGGCTCCGATCTCCTCTCTGAGCTTCTGCTGTGCCCAGGTCCTGACATTCCTTCTCTCTACTACTGTACTCTGGTATCAGTTCACCAGCAAGCCCATAACTCTGCTGATCCTAGCCTGGCTTAGACACAAACCTCCAGGAATAGTATCCCTATTAATCTATTCCCTATAATAAGCATTATTTCACGTTTTTGAAGAGAGTTCTTTCCCTAGGAAACACTACTCCAGGTCTCATTGGGAAGGAAAACTTTGTGTAGTTTGTTCAAGAGGTAGCCTGAGGCTCATACTTAAAGAAAAAATTTTCAAAATTAAAAAAAAATCACGAATCAAGAAGAAGCACCTTTTAACCAGGAACTGGAATAGAGAAAAGCATTTTTCTCCGTAGCCTTGCCAAATGACCACTGCTAAAATAGGTTTTACTTCTAAGGCAGAGCATTAAAGTAAAACCAACAAAAGTGCCTATATTAATTTTAACCCATTCAAAGATCACCATTAAGGTAATCTTAATGTTATTAATTATGAATATAATGAGAAGCATGCATTTTATCCTTCTGATGTATTACATCTTTTCTAGATTTTTCCCTATTTAACCCCAAATTTTCTTGTTTTGTTTTCACTCAATAGGAGAATGTTATTCTTTAAATCTTAAAAGCCATGTTATAGAATTGAGTAATTAAGTTTCAGACTTCCAGTAACTCTATTGTACTTTCAATTGTTTATGCAGGAGAGGTGTTGGACTTGTATTGAATTACCACATCTTTCTTGCCTTGTTCAAACTTCCCACTAAGCACACATTCACGATACCACTGTCACCAAAGTTAGTCAGAAATGCAGTGCCTGGAAAAGAATAGAGGGAAGATGTCTGGCAGAGAGATGGAGGGCCCAAGCTTATTAGAGATGCATTATATGCAATCAAATTCATCAATTGTAGCTTAACATTCTTGTTATCATCCACTACTATACTCCCTCTCTTACAGGTGAATAATTCCAATTCCTTCAACCTTCATATCCATCTCTCTTCTTTAGATATCTATTTTAGCTTTCCTAAAATAAACACTAAATTGTTTACAAGTACAAGCACATCTCATTTAATGTCATTAATTTCTGAAATGCTAGGGCAAAATAATACCAAAGGAGATAGTTAATTCCATGGGAACAATATTATAAATGGGTGATCATGATCTAAATATAACCGGGTTTTATGACTTCGTAGTAGGATTTTAGTGTAATATGGTAAGGATATTATTGGAAAGAGAGGAGCATGAATAGTGAATAGAGAGCTAGCCTTAGAATCAGGAAGAATTGGGTTCAGGTCCCAACTCTGACACTTAGGGGGTCTTGGGCAAGTCACTTAACTTCCCAATGTCCCAAGTTACTCTAAAACTATAAATTGCTATTCTGCAGTGATGGAGGCAGTTTCTTCACAGGAGCTTCCTATATCAATGTAATTAGTTACAGATCCAGCCCACCCCTCCCCCTGAAGAAAAATTGGGAAATGATCTTGAATTAGTTCAGTGCCTGTATTCAACTCTCATTTGTTTTCATCCTGTTTCTCCCTTGTCAGAAAGCCTTCCGGAAAGCATGATGTTAACTAGAGAATTAAGGCCAGATTCTTTGGCCTGAAATTCAAGACCTTGGGGTGATTTTCTGACCCCATCCTAGCTTAATAACTTTGCCTTCTGCCATTCCCTAACACAATTTGGATTGCTGGTCAAGAGACCTGAATTTGCCCATGTTCTACCACTAATTTGCTTTGCATACCTGGACAAGTCACTTTACTTGTATGGGCCTCAGTTATATGGAAAAAGAGGGGATTGGACTAATTACTTTCTAAGCTCCTTTTTTAACTCCAAATCCTGTTACCCTCTAAAGTTTATAGTATAAACTTTACGGTTCTCAATTTCTTTTATAATTGGAGATGGACTAGATAACTCCCCAAATCCCACTTAGCTCTAACATTCTGTGAATGGCTAATCCTTTGTTTCATCAAGACGGTATTCACTGCATTTATTTTCCTCCTCAAATCTTTGCTACTTGTATTCCTCCACCTTCATGCCTTCCCTTGCCCTTTCGGCCCAGCTAAATCTCACCCACTCTCTAGGCTCAAGTATTTTGTGAATCTTTTTGTACCACACTATTCAGTTATTGTTTGTATATTTAATCATAGGCTCATAGGAGTTAGAACTGGAAGGGACCTCTGACATCTAGTCAGTTGTGTTTGACTCTTTGTGACTCCATTTGGGGTTTTTTTTTGGGCAAAGATATTACAGTGGTTTGCTATTTCCTTCTCCAGCTCATTTTACAGATGAGGAAACTGAGGTAAACAGGGTTAAGTTGCCCAGGGTCACACAGCTAGTAAGTATCTGAGGCTGAAATCTGAACTCAGGAAGATGAGTTTCCTTACTCCAGGCCTGGGGCTCTAGCCACTTAATCACTTAGCTGCCCATCTGATTTAGTGTTCTCCTTTTACAAATTAGGGAAACTGGGACCCATAGTGATGATATACTTGCCTAAAATCAAACAGGCATATTCAGATGAGATTTGAATCTGGATCCTCTGATAGCATTTTGGTACAGCTAGGTGGCACATTGGGCAAGGAATCAGGAAGACCTGAGTTCAAATGAGGCTTTAGACTCTTATCAGATGTGTGACCCTGAGCAAGTCACTAATAACTCTCTGCCTCAGTTTCTTTAGCTATAAATAACATGGGGGATCATATTAGCACCTACTTCATAGGATTGAAGTGAGGATCAAATGAGAAAATGTTGGCAAAGCACTTAGCACAGTGCCTGGCACTTAATTAAGTGCTTAGGTGCTTAATAAACACTTGTTTCCTTCCATTTTCAATATACCAAACTGCCTCTCATAATATTCTTTGTATTGTTCATCAGGTATTATTTAACTTTTTATGCATGTGAGTTCCTTTTGAACTGAGACTATGTGTCTTATTTTTATTTTCCAGTATCTAGGGCAACTCTATGTACATAAATATTTGTCAAATGAATGATTCATTTAAGCCTAATCATTCACTTACAACCTTAAGTTATATTAATGGAGTTTGTTTTTCCCCCTAAGATAGGGACTGGATTTTTGATTTTATTAGCAAAAAGAAAGCCCAGATGAGAAAAGTCCATGTACTAATTCAGGGGTGACTGCTCTGCAGTTTATAGCCTTGGAAATTTACTTGGGGGCACTGACAGATTATATTACTTATCTACAGTGATATGCTCAGTATGTGTTAAAGGTGAGACACATCTTGATTCTAAGGCCAGGACTCTCTATCCATGTCCCCATGCTCCCTACCTTCCTAATAATATCCTTGCTTTATTATACCAAAATCTTATCAGAAAGTTTAAAAAAACCAAAAACTTGTGATATAATTCCGCAGAATCCTTTCAAGGCTTGCAAAATACTTTATTTACAGGAGTCAGGAAGATCTGAGTTCAGATCTGACCTTAGACACTTACTAACTTTGTGACCCTGGGCAAGTTGCTTAACTCCTATTTGCTTCAGTTCCTCATCTGTAAAATAGGGACACACAGGAGAAGGAAATGGAAAACCACTCCAACATCTTTGCCAAAAGTCCTTGGGGTCAGGAAGAGTCAGGCACAACTAAACCACTGGACAGCAACATAAGAGGTTGAATCTGGCTGAGCTTTAGTGATTAAGACGGCCCTGCGGTCTTTCTTCAACAACATCCCTTAGATGCCTTCAAGGAATGACCTCAAATCCTTTCTTTTTTTTTTTTTTGGCAATTGGGGTTAAGTGACTTGCCCAGGGTCACACAGCTAGTAAGTATCAAGTGTTTGGTCAGAGGTCAAATTTAAACTCAGTTCCTCCTGACTTCAAGGCTGGTGCTCTATCCACTGCGCCACCTAGCTGCCCCAAATCCTTTCTTTTCTATGAAGCTTTCTGGGATCACTCTGATGAATTGCAATCCTTCCCTTCCCAGATATTAATTCAGTTCAAATTAGTTCAACTTAACTCCTACAACATTTGTTTGGTCTACCATTCATTTAAAAATTGCCCATTATTGGGGCAGCTAGAT